ACTGAAGCAGTACCACCAATCTTACGGTTAAGACAACCGGCGCCGCCGCCGCCGCCGCCGCCGCCTCGTCGTCGGGGGGCGGCGTTATAGAGGAGAAGAAGTACAAGGGAGTGAGGAAGAGGAAGTGGGGGAAGTACGTGTCGGAGATACGCCTCCCCAACAGCCGCGACCGCATATGGCTCGGGTCGTACGACACCGCGGAGAAGGCGGCGCGCGCCTTCGACGCCGCGCTTTTCTGCCTCCGCGGCCCCACCGCCAACTTCAACTTCCCAGACGACCCGCCCCGTATTCCCGGCGGCCAGGCTCTCGCCCCGACCGAGATACAAGCCGTCGCGCAGCACTACGCCAACAGCTCCGGGGGCGATAATCCCCCGGCGGCCGTGGAATTGGAGGATGCATCGCCGCCGTCGTCGAACTCCATCGACTGGTCATTCTTGGACTTGTTGGATAATTCCGACGGTACTAATACTACCGGTGGAGGTAATGCGGGCCATGTTTCGGATTACGGGCTTTTTCACGACCCGGCCGAAATGTACATACCACCACCACCACCTATTCCTGATGATAACGACGATGACCATGGAATTGTGCCTTCTTTTCTCTGGAATTTCTGATCATCAGTACTCTTAAAATTAAACCACACATTTAATATATACTATATATATATATATACACACACACTACACCATTAATAGATAATTATTAATTAATATATAGTTATTAATTAATTAATATGTTTTTCCCATGAGCTTTCTGGTTTTTCTGTTGTACCCTTTTTTTTTTGCCGGGTAATAGATGATATTATTACCCGGTTTCTGTTTCGGATATTATCATGATTTAATCATAATATATATAGTATCATGATTTATTACTTGTACTAGGATAAATCGAATTTCTAAATTTTTATTATAATTAATTAGCCAATCCTGTATTGAGTTTAAATCCTACTGTCGTGCATGCACTAGATCAATTAATCATATATGACGAGTTCGACATAAACGAAGAACACGTTAAAATGTAAACCAGGGATTACAAACGTGTCATGCGTTGAACGTAATCTCATGCACACCGTACCAAGTGTTTACGAAAATGTTTAATGTGCGACGAGACAAAAATTATAACAGTTTTGTAAATTATCTGCAAGTATAAAAAAACTGTTTTGCAGTCTCATCTATCTGTGTACTAGTAATTAATTAATACTCATATTTATAATATCCATATGCAAATGCAAATGCATGCAACCTCCTGTTTTACTTTCAATGACTAAAGCATCAGAATATTACCCAAAATCCAGTAATTACAAATTAAATAGCAAAATAGGGTCAGGCTGACCCGGCCCGATCGACCGACAGACCAGTAAGTATATAATCGAACCCTAAAACACGACTCTAATAATAATATTCTACAATTTACTTACACTGCATGCATTTAACAGTGACACGTGAGAGAGAGAGAGAGAGAGAGAGAGAGAGAGAGAGAGAGAGAGAGAGAGAGAGAGAGAGAGTTTGTAATTGAAAGGTTTGAAAGTGATTGAAAGTAATTTTCCATAATCATGGGAGACGTTTCATTTTCATGATATTCCACTTTCTGCAAATATATATGTACGCCCCAAAAGGAACAGTTTAAATTATTTTAATTATTGTACAGTACGTACAGGTAGGAGAGAATTAAGGATCTGATATATGAAGATCAGTGGATGCACCGTCCAACAATTTCAATGTAATTAAAAAGAAAAAAGAAAAAAAAAAACTAAATTTGAATGTTCAATGTTGAAACTTGCACGCGCAGGCCAAACTCTCTCTAGTTAATTAAAAATAGTATGAACACAGTTTTTATATGATCCATTCCCATGGCATGCATTTACCATCGTCCAAATGAATATAATAATATCATAGTGCCTCATGTATTTTTTCGTAATTTGGTCGTACCTCGATCTAATCTGCCCATATATATATAAATTAAAATAAAATGAGTGAATTAAAATGCATGTTATAATTAGCCGCAACGCAAAAGAAATGCATGCCATGGGAATGGATCATATAATAACTGATATTAAACATGCATTATACTAATATTTTTAGTATAATGTTTACATGTTTTGATAAGACCAACTGATTAATCATAGATTCCAACATAAACTATTTGGGGGAAAAGTTGCGTAAAATACTTTACTTTATTTTTTGACCGGCTAACAACTTATTATTTGTCACGTACAAATCTGAACATGTATAGGACTTTTAAAAAGTTACCACGCCACCTTTAATTGAATTGATTTAATTAAGTTAGGTCACATTCCTACATGTATTTACAGCCAACCCCAGGGTTTGACCTCCGGTCAACGGTGAGGTGCTTCCACATTTACTGACACGTGTCTATCGTTGCAAGATATGTGCAAAAAAGACTCTCTCCTGACTGTACGAGGAACAACACTCGTGCGGTGAAGACATGCATGGAATTACACATTTTAATAATTTGTGTAAATTACGGTCACACCCTGAGATAACATAAAATTACAAAAAATTCTCTCATTTTTAGGTAATTACATCAACTCTCTCAACTATAAATCTTTTTACATGTTCACCATTGTGGTGTCAAATTCAATGTGGAATATTCTCTAGTTTGTACTCGTTTTTTTTTTTTTTTTAAAAGTCTTTGATGCGCCACAATCTGATATTTACAAGTCGAGAGACGCATCTTATGACCCTCTTGTTTCAAACTGTAGAGCTCGAATATGGTAAAACGAGTACAAACTGGAGAATATTCCACTAAATTTAACATCGCAAGGATTTACATGTAAGAAAATTCATAGTTAAGGGTTGTTTGTAATTACCCAAAAATGAGTGGTCTTTTCGTAATTTTACCTTATCTCAGGGGGTTAGTCGTAATTTACCTTAATAATTAACTTCATTATAATTAATACCGCACAGTTTAGATCATAATTAACATTGACAACAATGTTTATTTTGTAATAAATATGATCTGTTCTACAACAATAAAATATTTGCTTAAATAAATATAATTATTTTTTTCTTAAAAATATTAATTAAATAGAGAGAGATAATTAACTCAACTGCTTAAGCCAGGAGTTGGGAGACCATTGCACTATGAGAATCTGGACCATGATTATTGACACTTGGGATTATGTTTACTGGTGAAATTAACTTAACAAACTCCTTCAGCTCTGTGAAGCTGCTATGCTCACTATACGGCACTTCGTACCTGAAAACGATGAAAATCATCGACCCGATCAATTACCGAACCGTTATGATACGATGATAAAACTGTTTTTTTTTATATATATATATATATATAAAACATTTCGTTTTTAGCATATGTATATATTTTATAAATTCACCTTATAACAGTTCCCTTCTGCCATCGTTTTCCGGTAGATTTCTTCCCTTTTCCGAATGACCAACCAGTCGGCGAGAAAGCAACTATCAGATTAAACCGCCGCTGTATAAAAAAAAGTACTTGAATCAGATATTTAATGAATAATTGGTCGTTCAATCGAGAAATCGAGACATATATATGTCAAGTTACCGTGTACTGGTCAGAAACGTGTTTGAGTCGTTTGAAATTAGCGATTGTCCACATGGGAACAACGTGAATGTGGCTGTCCTGTTCGTTTGTGGTGAACCACTGCATGTCTTCTCGCGGCAAACCGAGGCATTCCAGGATCCGAAGCTTTGGAGCAGTGACGTAGACTTTCTTCCGGAGAGTTCTAGCAACTTCTAGAAACAGCCTTTCTTTTCCTGTAGTCGAATAGAAAAATTACAGTATAATTAGTTTGAATAATACGGATTGAGATTGGGTTTAGTATTAAAAGCTATTTTATTAGGGCGTGTGGAATTAGATACTACCAATGGTATAGCTGCCGATCAAAAATAAAGTTCTTGGATTAAACGCTTCGGCTTGGATGGCATCGATGACGAATTGGATTACGGTCTCTTGTTTCGGGAAGTCGTACTGCAAGATTGGAAATGAAGCAAATTACTCGTTGGCAATCATCAATTTTTTGTTTAGCTTGCTTTCACTATCTATTATTACCTGGGATTCGCAGTAGGTTGTGTCAAGAATGAGGGTGTGGATGGAACAAGCTTGCAAAACGGATAATTGTGCCATTTCCTCACAAAATCGGAAATCTCCAGTGTGTAGTACAGGCTGTAAAAAAGTCTTGGATCGTAAATGCGCGAAGGAAAAAAAAAAAGGTACTGTTTTTAAGAAGTTTGATACATACCTTGCCGTTGGGTGGTTCGAATAATATTATGATTGCACCTGGGCAGTGATTTGCATCAAAGCATGTTACATCGGTTCCCGCAATATTGATCTTTTGGTTGAGAGGCAAAACTTGAATTTTGTCGAATGGGATTCCGATTTTCAGATTGACTAGCTTTGCAGTTATCGAGGAACAATATATCGTCCCATGACAGAAGGATTTTGTAAGTCCTTGATAATCTGCAGAAAAACAATGCAATAAAAATGTTTAAACAACTCGGTTCTTTTTTTTTTTAACCAAAGTACTCCCGAATGCAATAAAGGTGGTGGTTTAAGGTTGTTGATAATGCAAATCCCAGATTTTATTTTTCCATCGTCGTTTTGAAGATATTGTTAAAGACATTAAGAAGTCTTCCCCCCGTCACTTTTCTCAACGATACAATACTTATATGAAAATCGAACAAGTAAGGAGCATTCAGTGGCTGCAGTTCGACAAAAATGACATGGTGGTTTTGTTCAATAGATGCAACCATAGTAATTTATCTTAGATAGTATACAAATTTCTATAGCATTGTTCGAATAGACTTACGATCTAAATGGAAGTGACTAAGAAACCAATGAGAACAGTCTCTTCTTAGATATTTAAAGGCGTCCTGCAAAAAATACGAAAACTGAAAATCAGACCTTGTAGCACATTAATATAAAGTACTGCTTTGCTACATAAAAACAGAGAAAAATTATCAATACTCTGAAAATCATGGAATGCATACTGAAATTATCGATTTTCATGTGAATTAATTGTATTGAAAGGCAAAGTTTACCACTCGAAATGGTGTTCCCGGTACGCAACACCACACAGGGACATTCTTCTGTTTTCCGTTCCTCAAACGATCATTTCTTTGAACGCTCTTATGAGTAGAATTTGCCTGATTTTTACGAACACTACTTTGTCCATTAGTAGCAACACCACCTCTCTTTCTTTCGGAGGGAGGACCAGAAAAGTAATCGGTTATCAACTTTTTAGTTTCGAATTTAGTCTCGTCGGCTACAACTTTAGAGACATCTGCCTTTGGTTCCACCGTCGTGGTCGAATCATTGCTCAGCTCCTTAATAGCGTGCAGAATTTTCTTTCTTGGACCAAGTGTTGTAATGCCAATGCTACATAGATCCTGTCGGAATAGCGAGATTTAACTTCTCAAGCATGCTGATGTGGCACGATTATTACATGCATATGTATATATTACACACACACACACACACACACACACACACACACACACACACACACACACACACACAGATATGCATATTACCTCTTCTGTCAGCCACTGAAGTGCCTCCCAGTCAATCTCTTGACTTACGAAAATCTCTTCGTATTTCGCAAGGCCTAAGTTTCGTAGCCATTCTACAACAGAAGATAAATTACCGGCCTTCGTAGCGGATTTAAGAGGAGAACCATCAACAACATGCCCCGGACCTTGATGCGTTCTTGTATCATCATTACTTACAGCCACAGCCACCTGAAAATACGTCACCCTTAATCATTACCCACAAATTTACTAAACACGATTTGATGAAGGATGCGAAATACGAGGTCAAATCTATACGTTCAAAATCAACTCAAATTATGATCTCGTGAACCTACGAATCCATCAGTAAAACCTCCTCAAAGTGTACTCCAAACTCATGACACACAACACAAGTATGGCAAACTACATATGAACAATTACACCAGATTCTGAAGATAAAGCGAAGTTCTTACATTAGCCGAACCCTCCACTGAGTCGAGGCACTCATTAGTGTGAATCTGCCTCTGGTCGTCACTCAACCCCGAAATATCTGCTCCACAAAG